TCCCGCACACACACACACACACACACACACACGAGTGTCTACCCGCCCGCACCAGCACTCGCCCATCTTGTCCCGCGCCGCACTCTGTTGCATCGGGTCTTGCGGGAGCAGGTCTCTAATCCACTGGCACTGGACTCGACAGTGTGTGAGCTACATCCTTTTTACAATCTCTAAATTATAAATCACTGTAACACGTCAGTAACGTATAGAGACCTCAGCTTGTAACTATACTCTAATTATAATGCGTTAAATTACTCTGTTACTAAAAAAATAATCAAATTACAGTAACGCGTTACTGCCCAACACTGGACATTAGTAATATCAAGTTGGGTTTGTATTTGCTTAAAGCACTTTTCTGTCCTGTGGTGGCATATTTCCTACTGAAACAGGACTTGAGTGAGACATTTCGAAGGGCACTTCCCTTTTAAAAATAATAATAATAAAGAGCCAATATAGGCTTTAGTTAAAGTCATATTGAAATGATTTTCAAATATTTTCTTCCATATTGTGACATTTCCAAGAGCAACAGATTGCCGAAAAATAAAAAAAGAAGGAGGGCAGGGATTTGGATCTATGTACTGGTTGTTGATTGAATTTTGAGATGTGGGTGAAGTTTAGGCAGATTAAATGATTGAAGAAGTCCTGCATACATCAGAGTATTTTCACCAGAAGGTGAAGTTATGACATTTTGATTAAAAATTACATGGTAAAAAAAATATATATTTTTTTTAATTACACACATGCATGGATGAATTGTTCACAATAACATGTATAACATTAATTCACAAAAATAGATAAAATAAAAACAGAAGTGAATTTTCATTTCTTGCCAAATTTAAGTTACATTCAAAAACCACAATTTGCTACTTCATAGTCGATGTGGGGAGGGACTTTGTCATTGTAGAAAGTATTTGACTGGTCAAAAATCTGTGTAGTGCAGGATGAGCAGAAGAGAAAAGCACATTTTAATGCATTTATCTGCTAAAAGTTAATTTTGTCAACATTTAAGGATACACTATACTGATGGTCCAAAAGACAACAAACATGGACTAAAAATCACAAGATATTATGGGGTCTTTAATGGGCCTGCCAAACTAACAAATATTCTTGACACAATGACGTTTAGGTTTTACCCTCAGAGTATCACTGGCACACATTTCATAAACAACTCATCTTCATGACAACTGGCTCTGACCTCACCACGTGTTCAGATATGTGCATCTGATACACATCAAAACAGTGTGAGTAATGGATTTTTTAAGGATACACTATACTGATGGTCCAAAAGACAACAAACATGGACTAAAAATCACAAGATATTATGGGGTCTTTAATGGGCCTGCCAAACTAACATAAATATTCTTGACACAATGACGTTTAGGTTTTACCCTCAGAGTATCACTGGCACACATTTCATAAACAACTCATCTTCATGACAACTGGCTCTGACCTCACCACGTGTTCAGATATGTGCATCTGATACACATCAAAACAGTGTGAGTAATGGATTCAGATCATGCAAAAGCAAATCAGCCATGAAAAAACTAAAGGGACGCTCAGTCAGTAACTTTATTTCCAACAGTTGGGCAGTGGAGAACACACACACACACACACACCTCCTGCTTCTGCACACACTTGCGCAACTGATCTGGAATCTCTACAGAAACAAGCCCCAGCATGGCAGCCTGACGGGTACAGCAACACACCCAAAATCAACAATGCCTACAATCACCTTTCTTTCTCTCTCCCTCTCCCTCAAGTTACCCATGATCAACAACATACTAGCTAAGACCATTAGAGCAGGACTCCCTCTGTCTCACTCCACCTCCTCCAAACCCCTGCAGGTCTCCTATCTGTTTCAGGTTAATGTACAAACCTGCTCAAGGTGAAGCATCTTTGAGATACACATGTGTAAAGAAACTCTCAAACCGCCGAAATATACATCCCCAGAACTGTTATGGATTCCCCCCCCCCTAGAATTTAATGATTTATAAGAATTCTATAGGTGAATGACAGATAAGAATGTCTAAGATGATACAAAAATGTAAAAAACAATTACAAATTAGATTTTTTTAAAGCTGAAAACAAATAAGTGTCAAGTATATGTATGAACCGAATATTTTAATTAATGTTCGATTCATGTAGCCTATTTTTGAAAAATGTTTTAAAGGGGTCATATGATGTTGCTAAAAACATTATTTTGTGTATTTGGTGTAATGCAATGTGTTTATGCGGTTTAAGGTAAAAAAAAAACACATTATTTTCCACATACTGTACATTATTGTTTCTCTTCTATGCCCCGCCTTTTGATTTTTACAAAGCTCATCGTTCTGAAAAGCAAGGTGTGCTGTGATTGGCCAGCTATCCAGTGTGTTATGATTGGGCGAATACCTCAAGCGTGTGATGGAAATGTTACGCCCCTTACCATACTGTGATGCCCTGTCCGGCCAGAGCGATGATTCAAAAACATGAAAACCCATTATAAACGAGGCATTCGTTGCATCCAGTGGGGACATAATTATGGATTATAATGACTTATACTGTCTTTTTACGCGTTGCATCGTGCCGCGTAAACATAAAACCATGTCTGCATTTGTGATCGGATAAATTACAAACAACAAGCCCTACTCTACACTGCCCAAAAAACTTGCTTTATATATAAAAAAAATATAAAAACTCTTTAAATATAAAAAATGTACTTACAATCTGTGAGTCAGAACAGCCGGCATTGTAGTCTACTCTACCAGGATCAGAAAACAGTCCTCCATAAAATGCGCAGCACACATCTGGATATTTGGGTTGAAGTGTTCTGGAACAGTGTTGTAAATACAACTTAACCACTGATTTCTAGTCGTGTCCATTTTTGGACAGCCAAACAAAGTAGTTTCGCTTTCACAACGAAACACAGCGTCACACATGCCGGCCTAGAGTGAGCGGCAGCGGCCTAGAGTGATCAGAGGCCGGGGGCTAGCATGAGGAATGGCCGGAGGGCTAGAGTGAGCAGAGGCGGCAGGCTTGAAAATGGCGCGGCAGGTGGATTCGACGAAAGGAGGCTTGCGGCAACCACATGTGACGACCCTGTGCTGGACTCTGCTTCGTCCGCGATGAAAGTGATCCGGTGATCCACAGCGCAAAGTTGTTGTATTTCCTCAGCAACCAGCACGGATCAGCTCCAGGCATGACGAAGCAGATATCGTCCTCTTTTGGAAGGCCAAAGTAGTTTCGCTTTCACAATGAAACACACAGCGCCTTCACGTCATGGCTGCAGCGTCAACAATACTACAGCGAGAATAAAAGTTACACCTTCTTTCTTTGCGTAAACATTTGGGCGGTGTTATGCAAATCTTCCCACATAGTGACGTAGACATGTGGGGGCGTGTTAGAACGAGCCGTTTTAGGTAGGCATGGCTGACTCTTAACTTTTATAAAGAATATCTCTTTGGATTTGAGACTTTAGTCTTTGCAACTTTACAGATCTTCTTTATGCACCAAGAGCTTGTAACACTCCAAAGAGAAAGGAAAAATTTAAATCGCATCATATGATCCCTTTAACAATTGCATTTTCAGTAAAAATTATTTAAAAAAAATAAATAAAAAAAAGTCATGTGGTGAAACCCACAAGTTAAAAGTAATAAAATATTTTCCTTACAATGTGAACATTACAAATGTGATTTTGTTTTAAAAGGTTTTCCAGGTAAAATCTAAACCAACAAGAAATAATATTAGTAAGTTTTCATAGGGTTAATTGATTTGACCTAAGCTAACCTTTGCCTTTTTGTCAAAAAACAAAAAAAACAAACACTTTACTGACACAGTCATGAGGGTCTACATTGGTCCCCCCTTTGAAATCATTTCCTGTTTATGGTTGTCACATGACAACAAAATGGCTTCCTGCACACTGATTGCACCACACTGACATTGATTTGGCATTCTATTTTATTTGGCATCACTAATCATTTTCTTAGAAAAAAATATATATATTATAGGCCTATATAAGATCATACCAAACTACTTATGCCAACATTTTTCAAGAACGCCCCACCTTTTTTTTTAGTATTTTTTTTGCATTTTCAGTAAAAATTATTTTAAAAAAATAAATAAAAAAAAGTCATGTGGTGAAACCCACAAGTTAAAAGTAATAAAATATTTTCCTTACAACGTGAACATTACAAATGTGATTTTGTTTTAAAAGGTTTTCCAGGTAAAATCTAAACCAACAAGAAATAATATTAGTAAGTTTTCATAGGGTTAATTGATTTGACCTAAGCTAACCTTTGCCTTTTTGTCAAAAAACAAAAAAAACAAACACTTTACTGACACAGTCATGAGGGTCTACATTGGTCCCCCCTTTGAAATCATTTCCTGTTTATGGTTGTCACATGACAACAAAATGGCTTCCTGCACACTGATTGCACCACACTGACATTGATTTGGCATTCTATTTTATTTGGCATCACTAATCATTTTCTTAGAAAAAAATATATATATTATAGGCCTATATAAGATCATACCAAACTACTTATGCCAACATTTTTCAAGAACGCCCCACCTTTTTTTTTAGTATTTTTTTTTATACAATCTCCCAAAAGTTACACAACAGTCGTTTTAGACAAGTCCCACAAAAATATTAGAATTACATTTAATTCAGAAAGTATATTGTCTTGTGAACTGAATTTATGTATATATTTTATACATGTGTTTTTATTAGATCCTAAGAAATACGTCGCTGACTTTAAGAATTAGAAATACATGGGGTTAGTAAAACTTTCAAAGAAGTGAAAGAGAGACCAGGACACACACACACACACACACACACACACACATACTACTGAAAGTAAAACCTATTGAGACCAAAATATCAGGGAGCACACATTTTAATGAATACTAAGAGTACGGAGTATAGTTTTTAGACACTTTAGTTCTAACTTTAGTTCTGACTTTGCATTATACTAATTACACGAGTTTTAATGTCATGTTGGAAGACTGGGCAGGGCTGTTACCTGTAACTTCGGGATCCCTCAGTTTCCTTGTTCGGCGCTGTAAAATCCTTTACATCGGACGGTCCATGTTAATCTGGTCTGGAAAGTTCAGGTGAGGCATTTCCACGGTATTCCGGTTTTCTTAGGAAACTTGTTCCTTAGAAAGCAGCCAGTCTTGAACAGTCCTCTCAGACTGTGCTCTCATCTGTCATGAGATACACCACTCTGCTTAATCTTCAAGAGGCTCCAGGTGAGAATTAAAAGGGAGTTTCCGAACGCTGTCAGGTCCTCGACCGCTCAGTGGCGCCATCCCGCGGCCACAGACGCTCACACATCCCGTAGACGTGATTACGTAACACACTGATTAAAGGGCGTGAATGTTATTATTAATGACTTACAGGATGTATTCCTATGGAGATGCTTAGTCATCCAGGACACAGTTTTATGAATTAGATAAAATGTAAATTCAATTAAAATCATTAAACAATTATTATTAAATTAAATAATTTAAAATATACAACTTTATCAGCATTAAAATACATTAACAGATTCAATATACTGTATATATATTTAAATATCTATTATGTTTATTTATGTAGTGTCTACACAGGTCTAATTTTCGATTACAGTCTCCTGTTTTTAAGTGTCCGAGTATGAAGTAAATACATATCTAGTCTAGATCCCAGATCTAGATCTCATCGTAGTTTTATCAATTTCAGGCAGTCAGACATTAGTACCACAACATCATACATCAAAGAACATGTCATCATGGCCATGATTATGGAGCTGCATGTATAAACACAATCCCACCATGATGAACATTATGATCTCGTGGAAACCGCCGTGAGTCAAGTTTCCTGGCTTGTGAAACTTGCTTTTTTTTTTTTTTTTGAGAGAGAGAGAGAGAGAGAGCATGTAAGTGCTGAATTTTACCTTGTTGATTCTTGAATCATCACCTTCTGGTTTTGGATGGGCAGATCCACCCGCTACGTGCATTTTTCATATTTCTGTTGCATTGTGGGAAACTTGCAAGTTGCTAGGTAGGCTACCATTTGTTCCTCTATGAAATATGAGCTATCATTCAAACCCATTATTCTAGATTTGGACAAAGAAAATAAAAATGCATAAATATGTCAGATAGATCAGATAGATTTCCTGAGTGCACTGCCTGCTTGTTGAGAACATCTTATCCTGTTTGTCCAAGATTTGCTTAAATGGACCACAAGACCTCAGCCACTTCGCATCTGTCAAGCACACCTTCATCTGAACTAGGTTTCACATTTTCTCTCTCGTCAGATGAGGTGTACAGGTTACAGGTAAAAATGTTACATGACAATTACATATACAGTATATCATTCTTATGTAATAGTTACCAGGTGAAGAAAACAAAGACAAATCAAACAATGAGAACTAGATATTATGTAAGAAACTTGCGGCCTTTCAGGCTAATTTGTAGGTTTGTTTTCAGATAACATACAGGGTGTGCATAACACATGTACACTTGGATGGGTTGATTAAATTAAATGAAATTTCTGTGTATGGGACAGCATACTTGGCTACATGTCATGTCACTTTCACTCTCCTGGCTCTTTCATCCAGTTTGGAGCGACGTCCTGATCCAGGGAGGGTCTGTGTTGTACCAAATACCTTCCATTTCTTAATAATAGACTTCACTGTGCTTCTACGCATTGATCAATCCTTTGAAATTTTTTTTTGTATCCATCTCCTGACTTGTGCCTGTCCACAACTTTATCCCAGAGGTCTTTTGAGTGCCTTGCCACCCATAGTTGTTTGCTTCAGTTGCACTACCAAGGACTGAAATGCTGTGCTAATCAAAATGACCACAGCCGATCACAGTTGAAAGTCAAATGGTTTTGTGTTCCAAGAAGGTGATTAGCTACAACTGATTGAGTTTGCAAGCCATTATTAGGAGAGGGCCTGTTTCCAACTATGTCATTCTGTTTTTTTTTCCTGACATGTTGGTGTTTTATCTTTCACTTGGATTTTATAAATTGCACTGAGTAAAATAGAGCTGGATATGCCTTGCCACCCATAGTTGTTTGCTTCAGTTGCACTACCAAGGACTGAAATGCTGTGCTAATCAAAATGACCACAGCCGATCACAGTTGAAAGTCAAATGGTTTTGTGTTCCAAGAAGGTGATTAGCTACAACTGATTGAGTTTGCAAGCCATTTTTAGGAGAGGGCCTGTTTCCAACTATGTCATTCTGTTTTTTTTTCCTGACATGTTGGTGTTTTATCTTTCACTTGGATTTTATAAATTGCACTGAGTAAAATAGAGCTGGATAAAACAAAAACTGTGTCTGTCTTCAATTCAGGCTGCAAAGCAACAACATTTGATTATTGTAAAGGGGGTGATTTTTTTCTATACTCACTGTATATGTATTGCAAATATTCCCTACAACTAATGAGCTTAGATTTGTTTCTATATAATAATTTATTTTAATTTAATTTAATCTAATATAGAAATGAAAATGAGTTCATAGGTTGCTATATGGCATAAAAACCAATGCAATCAAAATGTCCAACTAGTAACGTCTATTTATTTGTCACCAGAATTAAGCTATAACTTGGACTGAAAGAAAATGAAAAAAATACATTCAACAAATTCATACAATTCAGGTGTATTATGACTTTTATAATCAATAACTCACTGCTTAACATTGGCAGTAGTTCAGTGTATTGTTTCACAAAGTATTTAACCCATGTTGTCAGTGCAAAGTCACTTTTCTTACAGAGCTCAAACTCCAGCAAACACTCCTCAAACATTACACCTTCCTTTAGTTCAGTGGTTTGAGGCCTCAAATTATTCTAAACGGAGGGCACTTGACATAATAGCAGAGCCTGACACATTAACCATTACACTAAACACACACACTCATTAACTGCTCAAGCTACAGTTGTTTTCAAGCAGTGATCTCAGTTATTTAAGACACTTCTTGCTATATGTATGACCACAGACATTTAGGTTAGTTTGTATTTTAGTTTAATAGGTATACATTTAGTCCGTAACCAAAGAAAAGCTTCTGTGATTTTACTACAGGAGAGAAATTGGGTATTGTCATGGCTCTGTCAACAAGCAGATAAAAAATAAAATAAAAATCTTATTGCAGCATGTAGTTAAACCTGTCTAGCTAGTGTTTGTTTTACATTGTTCGAATGCATCTGTTCAACATCCTGTAAGATTGGACTTTATTCACTGATCGGAGATTTAAATACTTTGGTTTCCAAACCATGTTAAAATATCTTTTTAATTATGGTGACAGCAACTGAGGTGCAAAAAATTGCAATTGTGTAATTCTAAAGCTGTACTGCCAAAATATCTGTTGGTCTCATTGAGGACGCATCTGAAGGGGGAAAAAAAGAAGAAAAAAAACAACACACACACACACACACACACACACACACAATGAAAAAAATGTTAACGGCCCAAATGGTTTGTCAGGGGTCACTGGGCGGCATCTTAAAGCACATTTCTTTCTTTAAAACAAAATAAAGATCAGTAAAACATCACATTAAAATTTCAGAAGTGCAAATCCTCATTAAAAGGAACATTTTCAAAAAGAGTTTCAAAAAAGTAAAATTTGCATGTGATGATACAGATTTTCCCAACAGTCTGATTCTTTTGTGCAAAGTGTAGTCCATCCAAAAGTCCTCAGTGGCTCACAAGTTCATGTTTCTACTGTCTGAAGTAACACACATCATCCATGGCTGCTGTGATTCTGTGAGAATGGACAGATATGAGATTTAAATAACATAAGATGAGCTTTTCCATTCACATTCTACAACATAACTCACTATCATGGGCAGGGGGTGCTGTTTATAATGGAAGCATACGTCACAGCTTTTATGGTTCAATGTTTACAAAGTTTAGACATCATTATCTAGAGAAAAGACATGGAAGTGGAGAGAGAGAAAAATGTGTTTTTACCTCGGGGCCTGGTATCCTCCCTGACACAGGTTTACTAAAGCATACAGGTGTCTCAGAGCATATTCATACTGCAACAAGAGAGAAAAGATAATCACACACACAGCACAACACAACTAATCATGCAGATGAAAAAGAACAAGGTTCGTACCTCCTGCTGGTGCCAGTTGAAGCAGTGTTTCTTGTAGTGCTTGACAGCAGTTTTGTAACATTCATACTCTGTGAGTTCTTCACGTCCATCCAGGTAATCCTGCACTTCCTCGTTCTCCTGCACCACATGCTCCACGATCTTACGCATGGTGTTACCAAGCAGCTCGCGCACCTACACACGCACACACACAAAATCCATTGTAATATGATAATCTTGACTGAAATCTCTATCACGTACATCACTTGCAGTAAATGTTACAAACACTAACATTTAAAAGTTTGGGGTCAGTAAGAGTTCAGTTTTTGAAAGAAGTATTTTATGCTTACCAAGGCTGCGTTTATTTTATTAAAAATATAGTAAAACCAGCAATACTGTTTATTTAAATATATTTTTAAAAGTAATTAATTTCTGCGATGCCAATGGAGAATTTACAGCAGTCATTACTCCAGTCTTCAGTGTCACTTAATGCTTCAGAAATCATTCTGATTGCTGATCTGGTGCTCAAGAAACATTTCTCATGATTACAAAAAAATGTAAAAAAAATTTCTTCCAGGATTCTTTGTTTAATAGAAAGTTCAAAAGAACATCACTTATTTTAAATAAATCTTTTGTGACATTATAAATGTCTTTACTCGCAGTTGATCAATTTAATTGATCCTTGCTGAATAAAAGTATTCATTTAATTAAAGAAACCTTAAATGACACCATACCATTTGAACGACAAAGTGAATTAACTTTTAACACTTAAAATAAATGAATAAATAAATAATTATTTGTTTAAATTGAGTGGTAAAAAGTAGTTCTTCAAACCTGTAGATGTTCGTGGATTTCTTTCATGTAACCAACAACAGCATTAACGTCATTGGACTTCTGGAGTTTTCTCTTCATGATTGCAAGGGGCACATCAGGGCTGCTCATGAGGTCATGTTCAGTAATCACAGGCAACGACACAGGCTCACGTGCCTTATCAAGACCTTTCGAATTACCCTGGAACACAATCACCTTCATGTGGGACAGCGTCTAAAACACAAACAAACCAAGAGAGTTATATTTGGCAAGTACAGACAGTACTCAGAACAGCATTTTTGCATTTATCAAACGCTTCCTTGTCAATGAACTATACATGACTACAAGTGGAAACTTTCTGAACTAGCCGAGAAT